TATGATGTGACTCCTTGTGCTTTAAAATATGTATTTGTCAGTCTACTGCCGAACCCAGTTCATAGAGTTGTCACTAACAGCTTACCTTTTTCGGCTTTTTTACAAAGATACCATTGGAACTTTTCATTTTCTCTTCATATGCCTACTATCAATAAACAAGTAGATCATATGTCATCCATCTTCGAGGTTTCTAAGTTCACTTACGTTTGGTAACTTTATATTATCTACGAGCACACGTCCAGCTGCCACGGCAGCAGCTCGTGCAATGGCTCGGAGTGTACCGAGTGGTTGTCTTATATATGCTGTTATCACAATCAAAACATTGGATTGATACATCTGCACCGATGGGTTCCCGGTTTGGCTAGCGGTCGTTTTCTTCTTTCACTAACGTGTTTAAACTTCGTAAAGCATTTTGCGGTACGGACAAATAATACAAACGACATACAGTCGTCATCCTTGCACTTGATAGGGGCGTGTCGGCGAGAAGGAGCGTGCACACTGTTTGAAGCCTTCTCAGCCTTTTCGTTGAAACGCGTATGCGACAAAAAGTGATAGAAAACGAGTAACACGAAGGATATAATACAGTAATGTCACTTCTCTGGTTCAACGATTGGTGCAGTACGGGTGCTGACGACCGCGCCGCACGCAGCCGCACTGACATTGACTATCAAGTGCAAGGATGACGACTGTACATACCTACATTACCGACAAACCGACACACAAAGTTTCTGCTTTATAGAATGTAAGGATTAAATGATTGGAGGATAAACGTTTCATCGCGTAATCTCTTAGTGGTAATACCTTGTATGGTGGACACGCTTTCTACTTCCATTCAGAGTTTAATTGAAGGTGATGTGGCCTATGCAGTGACATACGTGAGCCAGCCGATGTGCAGGCCAGTGTTTGTTTCTCCCAGACGAATCTGGTAACGAGTTACCGTCTCTGGAGGGTAGAAGGCTGGATGGCCTGGGCGGCGTCTACCCGGGATTTGAGCCCAGGACCGCGCGAGTTAGGCGCGCCACTTCTCCCTAGACAGCCTCCACTCGCATCCTTAAACTTTACTTATTCCTTTTCTTTACTTAGGCGCCAGTTCGCGACGAATGGTGGTTCGAGCAATTTGTGTCCACTTTTCATTTCATCTGTCCCATCGACGTGTCGACCGACTAATAGCCTTTTCGAGTGACGGTTTTTACGTGATGGCTTGACGTGCTTGCTCCTTCACAAGAGTTCACTGGTTTCGCCAGAGTGAGACCTGTAAACCGGAACTAAGGAAGCAGTGATAGTACAAAATTGCCCCCTTCCCCTCCCCGCCAGTCGCCGAATTGCCCCCTTTACTTATTTACTTACTTGTTCATTTATACAACGAAAAAAAGCGCTGAATTCAATAGCGATTTCAGATGATCGCCTGCGAACTATGCTTTCTATTCTTCCTTCATCTATTCAAAATATTTCTTCAAGTAGAAAAAAAATAATAAACGTATAAAGGAATAAAATAAAATAAGCAAATAAAATTAGAGTGAGAGTGAACGAAGACTAAACATTATTAACTATTTGTTTAGCTATTCATTTGTTTCTTCCATGTTTGCTGCCGGACCATACAACAGCGATTTTACATAATTCCAATGTAAACCCCTACAAGTTTTTCTCACTTATGTACTGTTTTCAAGTAAATAGGGTAGACTTAAGAACAAAAATAAATAGCTTATCAGGTAGTCTCTGACTAACTCCTGGTCGTTCCCTATAAATGCTATTTACTAGTGACCGCCGGCTGCCTCCAAGGGGAATTCGTCGCCGAACAAGCGTTGCCACGGGAACGGCACCCCATCGAAGCGCCGTGGTTCTTAGGGTCGTTCCGGAGCTGGATCATTGCCTTTTCTGTCATTATTTTCTAATTCAGTATTCATTCTAGACAAATAGTATTAGCGGTAGAGTATGCCTATCAGTTATCTTTATTGGAACCGTGTAAATTTTTTTATTGACAGCTGTCGTAGTGTTGCTCCCACGTAAAACATAGATATCTCTCCCAAAAGTAGAGAGGTCGGGAGCAGTTCGGCTTGGTGGGATCATCAAAAGAAATTTAGCGGAGTCTGTACAGGTCTTGGGAACTTGTAAAGTCTTGTAACTAAAGTAGCCCACTTGTACCATCTCACAGCTTCACAAGAGTTCACAGGTTTCGACAAGATAAGACCTGTAAATAACATGAACTGGCAAGGGAACTAATAAATGTGCAATGTGCCCCTCCCAAGCCTAATGGCGCTAAACGTCGTATCACTCTCGTGGATTAACTAAAACTGACATCTACAGGGGGGACCAAAAAAAAGTCACTTTTTTTCATTGACTTTCGAGGCGTCATACGTGACACTTTATTGAAATTCTGATCGGACATTTTTACCACCATATTAAAAGCATATTAAATACTATCAGGACAGCTCCGCCACAGGCCTTGCGACGAGCGCCTACGGAGAGATGCTTGGCACGCGACCACGAGTTTGGTGGCCTGGAGTATCACGAGCGATAGTCGATTTCTTCGCCCATTCTAGGACCACGCCTTTGAACTCGCGGGTAATGAGGATCCAGAGTAAAAGGTGACTACTGATATTCCGGATCTTCTTCAGCGTAGTCTCGTATCCACGTCCGCCTGTCTGCGCGCTCGCGAAAGACTTTGGCTGGTATGGGACTCGTTAAGTGACTTTTTTCTGCCCCGCCCCTCTGATAAGGCATAAGAGAGGCCTTCCGTGGTACGCGAGTTGGAAGTAGCGCTACTGGATTTCGTGAGTAGATTCTGGAGCAGCTCAGCAGTTAGAACTACTGCGTTGATGATTCGCAGTGAGAAGCCAATGGCCCGAAGCGACGATGTTGCCACCGGGCCAAACCAGCATCAAGAAGAGGACCGTTACCTCCAATTCAAACCAGTGAGAATCCGACAGATTTCTTAGTTTCTTTATTTTGCTCCCACTAATTTCAGAGCGACGGATGTCAGGATCATGGACGGAAAACTTCGAGCCGGCTACTGCATCAAAATCACCAATAAAAAAACAAAAAAACACGGATTCAGTCAAATCACCGCGAGGCGAAAAGCGTCGCGGATCAAGGTAGGTCTCTTTGAATTGCGTCTCAGCTACCACTCTCAGCGTAACAATTCGACGGGGTTGGGGGTGTTTAATAGAGTCTGTGGCGAAATCGATCAATCATCGTCAGCCCGATGGGTGGAGCTGAACAGGGTACTGCTAGGTCTAGGACGAGTTCAGCCCACTCCGGGAGCTCCTTCCCCCTCGAGCATAGGCGAAAGCCCTCACCTCCATCACCGTGATTCCAACCTTGCGCAAGGAGTCCTTTGAATGCTCCCCCAGAGTTATTAGCGCCTATTTTCTGGTGTCAGTGCCACTTCCAAATAAAGCTAAGATCTTCAGAGTTTCTTTTCGCGATCCATGAGCGAAGTTCGACCATTCACCATAGCGGACGATTCTTCCTGTCACCAGGGGGCTAAAGGGGTAAGGCCCTCGGGGTGAAGGTGACGGTAGGCCTACACTATTAGGATGGTCCGCGAAAGTTCTGCAGGTTTTGAGTGTTTAACTTTAAAACGTCCAGGATCACGAATAACTTTAAACGATCATAACTTTCTTAACACTCATCGGATTTAATCCAAATAAGCACCATTCGAATCAGCACACTTTTGCCAATGTGACAGCAGTCGAGAAATCCCATCAAAGAAAAAACTGGGTGGTCGAGAATCTACGAAATCCACGAAGGCTTTTTGCCTGGTCCTAATTGATGAAGTATTTTTCAGCAAGGAAGTTCTGAAAATGTTTGAAAAGGTGACAGTCGGATTGGTGGAAAAGGTCTGGAAATAAGTGTGAGCTTGGTAGAAGCTTCAACCCCAATCGTTCAATTTGATGATAGTGACTTTGTGGAAACGTGATTTGGGCGGGCGTTTGTCATGCAAAAGAATCGGACCCTTTCTTTTGATAAGTGTTGGCTGCAGCTGACAATATTTTCGGTACATTTGGTCGGTTTGTTCACAGTAGGGTTCTGCTGTGATGGTTTGGCCTGGTGATAAAAAGTTATAGTGGATCACACCAGCCGATGACCACCAAGCCGTGACCAGAATCTTTTTTTCGTGAGGGTTCGGCTTTGAAAATTACCTCGGTGGTTCGTCGAAATCCAACCACTGTCCGGAACGTCTCCTGTTATCATACATGACCCATTTTTCATCACAGGTGACAATTCGGTCCAAAAACAGGTCGTTTCTGCTGCGCAAAAGCAATGCAGAAGGAACCTCGAGACGTGCCGATTCCTGCCGGTCACTCCGATTGTGGGGCACCCAATTGTCGAGTTTTTTCACCTTCCAATGCGTTCCAGACCATCTGCAACAGTGGATTTGCAACGCCTAGCTTTTCTGCAATCTCTCGAACTGTTTGGGATGGGTCAGCCTCCAAAATCCCCCTAAAATCCTCGTCAGATATTGCTTTAGGTCGACCGCTATGAGGTTCATCTTCAAGGCTGAAATCTCCAGAACGAAATTTGTTGAGCCATTGCCGCACAGTGCTTTCTCTAGCACTATTGGGCCCCCACACCTGGTTAATTTGTTGAGCTGTTTCGATTGCGGATTGCCCCAATTTATAGTCCAGAAAAAATCTTTCCGAATCTCTTGTTCACATGCTTGAAAAGAAGTCTATAAAAAAAGGGCGGTTAAAATCAGTCAATGGTGAAACGGCAATTATACCATCAGATAGCGCAAAGAATTCTCTTCAGGATGTACTACTGAGACGCAAGGGAGAATGAGTTTTTAATCAGCAATGAATGTGCAAAAAATAGTAACACAAAACCTGCAGAACTTTCCGGACAACCTAATATCTTGCAACAGATATGTGACTCAAACTGATTTGGATGTCATTTAGTCCTCGACAACTCCCGATCCATCCAAGGAGGGATCAGTGAAGGAGGACAAACCGAAATCTCATCGACGGGAATCACTCAAAGATCAGTTGCTTAAGTTTAAAATGAAGGTGGGTTTCAAGAATTTTCCAAGCCGAATCGAAACTGCTCACCGTCGTTGTCTAGAGTGTGGAGAGGGAGCGTTCCAGGTACGCCTGCATAGCGGCCAGAGTCCATAGAGAAGAGAAGCAGGAACGTATGCGTCAAATCAGAGTCATGCAACCGTTGCTAGAAGACATGAGTACACCCCTTCTATCCCCTGAAATGGGCTGCGCCATCTGCGCGGTCCAGGAGTAAAATTTCAGAACAAATTTTTTGAACACCATCAAAGTTTTGCATTTCTGAAAAACCAATTCCTTGTGTTAGCATACAACCCGTCTGACGGCGCCCATTCTCATCTTCACATTTCTCTTTCTTTCTCCAATTTTCAAAATTTTTCGTCTGAAGGCTGGTAAAGTGTTGGAAGATGTTCACGATCGTCTCGTGGAAGATCACTCCTCTGTAGCTGTGGCACCTATTTCAGTAAGTTAATTTGCTTCCATTTATTTTTATTTATACCAAACCATTTTCGATTATTATCGACGCGCCAATAGCCTTGAATGGAGCAGCACACCGTCACTTGCGTACCGTCTCCACACCCTAACCCCCGCTTACTCGCCTACAGGCCCAAATTCTGGAGCATCGGCACGGGACCTATACTTCACGACATACCATATCCTCACGAGTAGAAATTCCGAGAACAGTCAATCTAAGGACGAGCGGAGACGTCACCGTCAGGTTTTTAGGTTATGGACTGCAAAAGAGGAGTCTAACCATAAGAGCAGACCAGCGAGCAAGATGGCAGACCTCAACGTGGAGAAGGGGAAAGGGACGGAGTCACTCCAGGTAGTCACTTTCTGACCTAAAAATGGTGCGGCGCAGTTCAGCGACGGTGGGGGGGGGAAGGGCGGCAGTTTGCACTTTCGTTGCTTCACTAGTTCCATTTACAAGTCTTCACTTTGGCGAACTTGTGATTCTTGGCATGGCGTGAAACTCGCCAACTCTAAGAGGCTGTCTAGATGCGAAACAGGCGAAAGTTGCAATTAATGCCCCCCCGTCGCAACAGCGCCAAAATGGTGCGACCACCTTCGGTAGTTGACCTAGCTGAGGGCTTACTCTAGCTGAGGGCACAATTCAGCTAGTCACTTTCTGACCTAGAAATGGTACAGTCTTGGTCGCTGTAGAGTTATCAGAGGTTGGCTTTGGCATGACGCCAGTTAATTTTTTGACGATTGTTGTCGCTTGTCCTCTTCAGCGATAGGTGGAGAACGGGCTGGCGCTGCGCCAAGCCCAGCCTCCTGACACGCCCCAGCATCCGCAGCGGTCAATACTAAACAGGATCGTCCACTCGACCCGCTCTACCTCTCCGCACACTCGTTTTGACTCTAACAAATAATGCCTGTGAAATCAAAATCTAATGTGATAAAATAACCGATAAGCAGATAAATAATTAAACAATTAACTTCAAAATAAACGAACACCAAGAATCAGAGCCCGCTCTTTCAGTCTCCCAATCTTCTTTCGCAGGACGTGGTATCTGTGACGGAAACTCTCGACGAAACTTCCTCTATTGATCGGGTAATAAGGTAAGGGTGGAAATTTGCCAACTTTTCTCATTAAAATTTTACAATAATTTACCTCTATTTTTAACTTCTTGAGGGCTTCCACTGGGGAACAAGTTAGAAATTTTTAGCAAAATAATTTCTTCTTCTTCGGAAACCCCATTTGTGACGCTTTTTGTTACTTTTTCAAAATTCCTCAGATTTCAAAGGTTTTCTTGTCTTGAAACTTCCGATTTACCCTATAATGTAGACGAAAGGTCATGACACGATTGTGACACTTAACTTTACGAAAGATATTTCAGTCCATCCCTATCGCAATCGTCCAAACGCACCACGACGTCGGCTGAGTTGAAGGCTACAATGCGCTCGAAAATACGGAAACAGGTAGATTTTTAAAAAGGTCTTCTTGCAAAATCTTATGGGCGCACTTCGGCTCGGTGGGGGCACCAAATGGTTTTAACTAGGCTTGTGCAGATCGCCATGTGAAAACCTGTGAATTCCTGTGACCAAGCTACTGTACAGTTATCACCAAAGCGACTTGTTAGTTGACATAAACTAGCGAAAAGGAACTACAGAAGAAAAAAGTGACCCTCCAAAGCGAAATAGTGCTCAGCCCTCGGTTTTGCAGAGCTGTTGGTCTACGATAAGGTTCCTCGCCGCCATGATTTTTGTACGGCTTATTGCATTTTCGCAAATTATTTTTCCAGAGTCCACTAGTTTGCCCACTAGATAGGCTGGGTCATGATCAACGGTAATAGTAACGCCTTTTGTCTCTAATGATACCGCATCATTTCTAAAAAAATTCTAGGAATGAGCCTTCCTTGGAAGGAGTGTGAAGCCATCTAGCGAGTGCTGGATAAATCGTCGTGACATACATAGCCAATAATATTTACTAATGGTTTTCAGGCTGAGAAAACAGTGGAGCGAAAACGCGGCTCAGTTCAATTAGCAAAGCGTCTTCAGCGCCGTCTAACAATTCATCAAGAGGTTATGATTTTTTCCTCCATTCCTCATCAAGCTCTTCTTAGTTGAGTGCTTGCTAGGTTTCTGCTGGAGCAGGGTTTTTTCTTCAAAACGTATAAGAGCATAGCGCGAGAGTCAAATGGCGTTCGGAGAACCAACAATCATAAAATCGGGCTTGAAAGTGGTATGGACGATGGCTCCTGAACGGGCGCTATTGCCAACGTCACTGGTGAAAAGGTGGCCGAGAGGCGTTTGACTAACCCGCTAATCCGCTCAGCCCCTTCCGGCAGTTACCGTCTGCCTGATGTCATTGGGTTCACTGCTGCGTTAGAAGGCAAGAAAGCTTTCCGTGTTCACACCATCAGAGTGCAGACTGTTTCCAGCGTAGGGTGGAGCTCTAATTCATCCCCTTCCCCTCTACCCCCGCTCTTCCCCTCCCCCCATCCATCAGGATACATTATTGACATAGATGAAATGACTGTGTCAATAATACACTACCAAAAATCTCATTTTGCGATGCTCTCCTCCCACATTTCCCGACTTTACGCACTATTTGCCAGAATTCTCTCGATAACTTGACTGCTGGCGAGAAGGGGAAAGCCGTACAACTAACTACCGAAACTCCAATTTACAGAGAATTTTTGTGGCAATTACCTAGCCTATACGTTGACCAAGCAAGGGATTGCAGTGTAAAGGAGAAAATTTTCACCGGACCTCAACATTTTAGTCTCGAACCTTCAGACGTGCCGGCTCAATATGGACCCCTCCCCGACTAACTATGAGCCTTGTGTGATTCTCCACGATACTCTACTCAACCACCCAAACGCATTGATTTAGATTTAACTGAGGCTTGAAGAGCTTGTCTTATTGTAAAGAGAACTGAGACCAATGAAGACGGGGCAAAGGCTGTGAGTCTCCACCCATCGGTGATGGCGAAATATTTCATTGGAAGTGCACCCCAGTTCCATTTGACGTTCAGACGCCTTTTTTCCGGAAAATGTGAAATGGAAATGAGGGCTACTGGAACAATAAGTCCTGTATGCATGAATTCCTTGTTAGGTACAATAATATTTATATTTGCAGGAAGGACCAACTGAGGGTGAACTGAAGTCGGTTGACGAACAAATAGAGCACTCTCTCAAGGTATGAAAAAGCTTTCTGTGTTTTGTGCCTGGGGATCTCCAGCTGAGGCTAGTCAAGTTTTGCATGATTCCACGCGACAAGGCACGCTGTCTAGGGGTCATGGTTCACTGGAAGTGTCACATATTCTGACGTTGGCCGAGACATACATATCATGCCACCCTGTCTCGGCGATAGTACGCAGACGAGCAGACATGACGTAGCTCAGCCGCACCGGATTATGATCCCTCCAAAGCACAGAGCACGCTAACTCATTCTCGGAAATTCAATTGCTTAGTCCCAGAATAAGGGCCTTTCCAGGTCGGAGCACGTTTTCTGCAAGAGCAGACGTCCCTCTATCCACCTGATGACGTACAGTATGCTTTCTTCGTTGAGGACTACGATAAAGAGGTGGGCTTATTACCTCTTACCATCCTATGATAAGCTAAACCCTGCCCTAGACAATTCAGGATCAACCTTCACCACCAACCGGTGGTCCTCTGTTGGACTATCGTCGAGCAGAAATGGTCAGCGATGTCGATCCCAATCTGGTTTACTACGAGCCACGTCCGCTCGATGTAGAAGCTAATAACGGGTAGGATTTTACCCCAAGGCACTTTCTGCGATGAATGGATGGGCGGGCTGTCGCACTCTCGTCAAACGGTCAGAAGGAGTTCTCTCAAATGAGAGAGGCACTGAGTGATTATGAGTCTCCGCCCACTTCTTCATCCATTCAGTCATCATGGAATGCCCCTTCGAGAAACCTTTTAAGGGCGAATAGGGGGAATTAGAGTCAACTGAGGTCGTTTCTGGTCTGCGCCATGCATTCGTCTTTGTTTCAGAATAGTATCAGTAGTTGAATGTGTATTTATACCACACACTAACTCGCGGAACAGAAAATTAACGTAATTTTTGAAAAGCCGAGGTGTTGAAAAGTCAGTGATTGATCGCTCCAGACAGATCATTGGTGAAAAATCAATATTCGATCGTTCCAGGCAAGTCACACTATCCCGAATGACACAGCGATTGTCGGACAAGTTTTTCGCTAACGGTAAACTCCGCCGCATCGATGAATCGCAGTTTGTGAAGCCCTTGAAGGTGATTGCTCATCCCATTTTTTCACGATCAATCGATACACGGATATTGAGCGCTAAAAAAGTGCTATCTACAATTTTTCCCCCTTGGTGTTCATTCCTAATGAGTCAAAGGCACATTGCGCGACAACCCAATGGAAGGTGAAACGGATGAGGACCATGGTGCCAATGCCCCCCCCCTCTCAGCCCCGTAATCACACTGCAATGAATATGCCAAGCGATGGTGCAATTGCTTAAGTCTCCGCCCATCGGTGATCGCGAAATATGTCATTGAGAAGCTTTTCGTACCATAGGTATACCGAGAATAAGCGGACCTATGGGATTCTTGTTCACGATTAAGATCGTATTTTCATCTTACTTCGTTCTTTTCCTTAGAAATATTACTAATTTCGGGGCAATTCGGCTTTGATGGGAGTGGCGGCACCGGGGTTACTTGGGGTAATGCTTTCCAAATTGGTGAATTCCAGCTACACATTCACAGTCAACCACGTGGGACCACTAATTGGACATGAAGGCAACAAAAAAAACTAATCTGAAAGTACAAAATGCCCCCTCCAAGCCCAACCAGTGTTCATTTATAGTATATATAAACAAGATGACAGTCGCTCAAATTTTTCAATATGTGCGCTCCTCCGAAAGCACCGCTTCCGTGAATTCAGAACCGTCAGAGACGCAGAGTAAGCCAGTGACCCTGTCTCTCTCACTCTGACCCGTCTCACCCTTTTGCACCAGCGGCTTTTCCGTCTGCTTTCTCTCCGCGTTTCACAGCCAAAACATTGGTTTTCGTTTATTGTAGATAATCCAAACCGAGGACGCGCTGTACAGCTATGTGAAAGCTGAGCCATGGGGAAGCTTTCGTGACCGACCGAGATAACTGGCAGCGATACGTGCCAGGTTGGACGTGTTTCTCGGCGACCTAGTCTTTGACAAGCATCCACTGGCTGGTGAAGAGGTAAGGAGAGAATTCTCAAGGTGCACGGTTTGGCCACTAGCCAATTCCTCCATTTCAGGACAAACGGCACGCGCGACTAGTCTCTCTCTATGACGAGCAGTGTGAACGTATCAATCAAATGACTGATGCATTGATGGATGCCGAAAACGCTCCAACAAGGTGCGTTTATCAGTGGGTAATTGGCTGTCGTTTTCTGAGCTTGCAATGCCACCGCATGGAGAGGTTTAGCTTGAGTGACAGACGCAGAACAGAGGGACTCTATTTCTCATGTGCCCTTGGCTGTTTCGGTCAACTGTGCCAATAAGGCTTTTCAGCGAAAACTCGTCCGCGTTTCGAGAACATGCCAACCAGTTATATGGGGAACTGAGAGGTGGAGCTGAACGTTTGGCCGAAGAGTACGCTGACTTGGAGAACTGCCGAAATCAGCAGGGTTTCGCGACGTCCCCTCTCAAATACACTGTGGACCAAGAGGAACATGAAATCGGGTGAGCTCTTGGAAGCCTTGAGGTCATCAATCAATTATCGATTTGGTGGATTCCGTCAGAGTACCCATTTACAGATCTCTGCTGGGAAAGTTGACGATGGATGGTCCGGTAACCCCTATAGGAGCCCTCCCAGCACCTGAACGAGCACGAATTGGTAAGTTTTTCGTATGTGGTCTCCATGCCAAATATCGATCGGTACTTAGATCGATAATGTTTCAGAATCGATGAAGAAAACATCGTGGCAAGTGATTCTTCATTTCAACGACATCTTCATATGTAAATCGAGATCGGTACCAATAGAGGGGTTCCAGCACAAATTCGATCAAATCTATAACTTGGAGGTGAGCATCAACTTTCAAAAATGCAAACCAGTCTGTTTTGTAAGAGTCGCTGAGGGTAACTCATGTTTTCCTCCTTATTCCTCTTTTGCTCAGTTCTTCAAAGAATCATCTCGTCTATTTACATGTAAAACTCACATTCCCCCCCCCCCCCCCCGTTCACAAGGTCGTGTTCGCCCATCCAAGAAGTCGGCGCACATGGGCGATTTCGCCTTTTCACTTTGGAACATGAACTCTTACTTTTGATGGTAGCACCTCACCACTAAAAAAAATGCAGCAGTGTCGGCCGATATGAGACGCGTGCTGTCGCGATGCGGTTACTTCTCTTAAAGAATGACAAGAAGAAAAATTAGCGCTTACGGCTACGTCCCCTTGAGTTGTAAGAGATCACTCCTGAGCAACAACCACAGCAAGTCAATGTCGGACGAATGTCGATTAGGTGGCTCGTATTATACGCGAGAGTTCGCGGCGCGTTCGTTCCAATGTTTTGGTACACTCCTTTACGCTGCGCAAGCCTTCCTGTGACGACTCTGCTCTTATGCACAATCATAATCCTGAGC